AGATGATCTAAAAGTCTTTAAGGGCTTGCTAGTTGAATTCTCTGGTGAGCACTAAAGACCAATTTTAGAAAGCATGATAAAGTCAACGAAATTAAATTTGGATATTTGGTTATTAATGCCCCCTTCTTTTACAAAGTGATTGTAGGGCATTCAACTTATAATCAGTTGGGCGCCGCTTTGTTCACTTTGTATTTATGCATGAAGTACTCGCTCTCTAATGGACGAGTAAGAGTTATCCAAGGAGATCAAGAAATTTCCAGAAAGTGTTATGTAGAAAGCCTCAAATTGAAAATGGTCCACCCCCTATGCGCAAACAACAGGAAAATGATGTGGGACCCAATATGGAATAAAATTGATTAAAAGTGAAATATTAAAATTGAATATGATAAAATATTAATATATAAGGTAAAATTGTGGGATCCAATATAAGTTCTTTAGAGTTGTACCATTGGAGTGAAAAATGAAATGAGTTGCTTAAAACTGGCGTGGCTTAATGGAATAGAAAGAATCCAAAAGTGAATAGCACCATTGGAGATGTTCTTATAGGCAATCAAAACGTTGGATCCTTAAGTAGGATCCTCTTCGCCCTTAGAGGCGATCAAAATGTCGGATCCTTAAGTACGATCCTTGTTGCCCTTGAAGGCGATCAAATTATTGGATCCTTAAGTAGAACCATTGCCGCCCTTAGAGGTGACCAAAATGTTGAATCATTTAGTCGGATCCTTGTCACCCTTAGAAGCGATCAAAATGTTGGATCCTTAATAGAGATTCTTATCACCCTTGATGGAAATAAAAAATATAGATCTCTAAGAGAGGTCCTTATTGCCATCATTGAGACAATCTAAGTTGTCATGCATTACTGGTAATCATTGTAGGGTTACCAAGCAAACCTCCCTTGTTGACCAGTACCCTGGCTCCTGACACGATCGCAAGTGCATAAATTTGTTGGTTTAGTATAAAAAGTATCTAATTCCATAGAGACCAATTTACAAGTATCGTTATCTATTATTACAATGTTTATCTAAGGCAAATCAAATGGTTTTTTTTATTAACAAAAGTGAAAAATAAACTGGTATTAATTTAATTATAATGACGAAAGACCGGAATGAAATTCTCGTCGACCGTTGGTACTCACAAAGTTGTGTTCTATAATTTATTACGAAAAAATATTTTATCGTAGGAAAAGGACTAAGTTGTAGGTACTATTCATTTTCACGTGACTCATGCCTAATTTTGGCTCTGTAACCTAACTGCCAGCTTTCGTGTGTCTAACATGTTAAAGTGTGAAATTTCTTTTGGAAAATAATCACTTTTATTTAATTAAAAAGTTACTTTTAGTAGAAAAATCAATTTAAAGGTGACATCCGCTTTCACATGATCGGTACCGAATTTTAAGCATATAGACATCCACTTTCGCGTGTTCGCTTATGATCTTAAAATCACCTATTTGAAAACTAGAATTTCCCAAATTAATTAAAAGGTGTTTTCGATGTGTTTAGAATTAATTCATGAATTTTTCTACAGTCAGATACAGGTTTCACTCTTTCAAGTTGAAACTGGTATCGCTATGTTCCTACTTTCGTAGAAAACTTTAATTATAAAAACAAAAAAAATTCAGACACAAAAACAATTCTCGTTATAAATGTTAATTTACGACTTATTAGAGCACCGTTAGTACGACATCCTTATATTCAGGACTCAACTGATTTAAGCTGACATGGTATTTGTGATAGATAAAACACTCATTTTCATTGAATACATGTTAATAATGATAAGTAGTAAAAGAAAGTAAATGGAACTTGTAAGTAGCATAAAGATGAAAACTTTAATAAAAGAAATTGCTCTGCAAAGAGACTTTATTCGATACAGAATGATGGAAATAAATGCTTATAATAAAGCCAACATGATTGAAAATAAGTAGCGGCAGAAAATTATAACTTCAAAGTGCAGACAAATAAATCAAAGAGTATTCCAAACTTAGAACTAAGGTTGCAATAATCACTCAATGTGAGAAATTGTTGATTTTTCAAGGTGAAATTTATGCTCACACAAAGCTTGGATTTCCTAAATCTGAGTTCTAAAGAGCTATATACAGGCTAAGGCTCTTAAAAAAATGGCTCAAATTGTGCAAACTGATTTTGGAGATGAAATTCTGGTATCAGATATGAGATGTCGAAGGAGATGTTACGACACTAATATTTGAACAATCACCAATATATGAACAAGATATAAATATTGTTAACAATAGTAAATAGACACAAGCAATTGTTAACCCAGTTCGGTGCAAACACACCTACATATGGGGGCTACCAAGCCAGGAAGGAAATTCACTAAATAGAATTAGTTTGAAGATACACAGTAAACTCTCTCTAGTTTACCATCTTCGCACATAATCTATATCCCTGCAGTTTCTATCTAAAACCCCTTAGATATGAGATACCTCTCACTCCCCCTCAATCACATTAGTGATAACAACAGGTGAATAAACCGTAGAAGACACTCTTCAAGGACAATACTTAATCTTGCTTAAAAGCTTTTGAAAAGGTTTCATAATTACTCCACGAAGTATGCACCAAAAACTCTTTTGAAAAGGACTATTTCCACGCATATTTGAACCACTAAAACTCTAAACACAACAGGGCAAAGAGTTGCACAAAAATGCAACAGTCAAACCAACACATTCTCGTTGAATGTTTTGTTCACAAATGTAAGGACATCATACTTGACATCATGAACTAAACCCTGCAACAATAAAAATAACCACCTGCAGAATGTTAAGAACATATGTCAAGACATCATGTAGGCCATCTTGTGATGTCACCAAGTTTTACCAAAATTCCTGCCAATCAAGAACTAACAAACTCCCTATTTGGCAAATTTTGACTAAAACATCCAATAGATCATAAGAGCTCCTATATCAGAGAGCACAGCATCAAAAACACATATCACAGAAAAGAATGATCTCTCCCCTTCAAAACAAAGTGTAACAGACAAAACTCCCCCTCAACCACATAAACATCAACTCCTCAATTCATTCTTAGTAGCAACAACACAAGCAACATCTTCAGCATCCTGTAAGAAAAAAAAACATTTTGGTTTAATATTATAAAAAACATGTTATAGAGTAAAAAATATGATTATAAATATATTTGATTCCTAACGAATTAGTAATTACAATTGTCTTAGAATGTTAAATTATTATATATATATATATATATATATATATATATATATATATATATATATATATATATATATATATATATATATATATATATATATATATATATATATATATATATATATATATATAATAATAATAATAATAACAATAATAATAATAATAATAATAATAATAATTTAACATTTTAATATAATTGTAATTGTAATTACTAATTCGTTAATATTCTAATAATTTCTAATATAATTGTAATTACTAAAGTAGTATCGCATTCTAATAATTTAACATTCTAATACAATTGCAATTACTAATCAAAGACAAAAGCATCCAAAATTTCTGCCAATATATATTCTTTTCTAAACTCTTTCGATCAAAATATAATACTTTATCAAGTTCACGGTGATTTAGGATTTAAAAGGGCGTGTGGTTTTAATCAGAGATTTGTGTTAGGTTTTTGCTTGATTAGTGTTTGGATTCATCGCTTGCTTTTGATTATGCAGATATAGAAATTTTGATGGTTCGATTTCTATAAGATTTCGGTTGAAGAAGGAGGCAGAGAGATGCAAGAAAATGAAAAGAGTGGGAGAGAAAACGATGAGAGAGAAGGAAGAAGGTATTTAAGATTGATGAACTATTTTGTTTGCAGTGTTATTAAGAGCATCTCCAATGGTGCAACCTATTTTTAGGTTCTTTGTGAGACCCATTCCATCTCATTCAATTTTCACTCCAATGGTACAACTCTAAAGAATCCATATTGGGTCCCACCACTTTACTTAAAAAATATTATTTATATTAAATTTATTTTATTTAAAATTATAATTTAAATATTTAAATTTTAATTAAAATGATAATTAAAATAATAAATAAAATTTTATATTAAATTATAGTTTTTATATTATAAAATTAATATTTTAATATAAAAACCATTGAAAAACCGTCGCATATTTAAGAACTTTTCTATCTTGAAAACAACAAATATAAGTGCCATGTTGGCAAACCCACTCTAAGAACTCCCATTGAAGTTGGTCTAATAAATGAGATTTAGTTTTCAACTTATTTCCAATTTCAATGCTATCAAAGGATGCTCAGCATGAAAGATAATAGAGATTAAATAAAAAAAGATTATAAAAATTGAGAGAGTGACACATAAGGGTCATTATCTGTCAAATGCATAATATTACATCAAAATTAAAAAAATTTGTAACGTGAAATCAGAAGATTATATAGATAATAGATAGTCAATTCTATTTGCGGTACTCCCAAAATATACTTAAACACTTTTAATTTGTAACGTGAAGTTAGAAGGTTATAAGTGAAATTTTATGTACTTCTTTTTTAATAGATAGTCAGTTCAATTTGTGGTACTCCCAAAATATACTTAGACACTTTTTATTTGAAATTAAAAAAATTTGTAAAGTAAAGTCAGAAGGTTATAAGTGAAATTTTATATTAGTTTCATTTGCATATTCAAAGATATACTTAGACACTTTTAACCTGAAATTAAAAAAAAAATTGTAAGGTAAAATGAGAAAGTTATAAGTGAAATTTCATGTACTTCTCTTTTAATATATAGATTATAGATAGAGAGTTCCATTTGCATTTGCGGTACTCCCATCCATATCCTCTCGCATCCAAAAATAAAATAAAATCGTGCCATATTTATGAAAACTTTCCGGAGATGGGTTAAATTCTAAAATTGAAAAATAAATCAGCAATTAAGAAAGAAAAAAAGATAGAAGAAGACGAGCCTCTGTTGTTTATCAATTCGCAGGCCAAACCTAACAAGAGAATTTACCTTCGTTCCTGATTCAACTAAAAAATGGCGGATGCATTGACCGATTCACACATGGACAACAGCAACACTGCGGCGGTACAAGCCACCAACGACGACGCTTCCGCCAGTAAATTGTACGCACTCACCCCTTTCTCCTTTATCAATTAAAAGCACCATCATAATCAATTTGTTTATATTTCTAACCTATTTCAGATTTCCGTTTTTGTTACCTTCGGAATCATGCAATATTATTTCTCTTTGCAAAATGGCTTGTGAACATGATTGCAAATCCAAGTTGTTCCTAAAGTGGAGTATGATACATCCTATGCATTGTTTTTTTTTAGCTTTTTAGGTCAGATTCAATTAGTTTTTCATGCATTTGATGATTAATTGATTATTGTTACATTATATGTTCTTTAGGATTTTGATTATTTTGCTTATTCTGCAGCATTGTATTTTTTTATACCCTTTTTGGTAGATTAGAAGCATATCTATCTATCTAAAAG